GGTGTCTTGTAGCCTAGCCTTGGTCAAAAATGACCCACAATACACTGCAGTATTTTCAAAAGGATGGCGGATCAGAAGCCGGCAGCTACGTCGGGGACAATTTTCAAGTTTAAATGTAAGTCAACTAATAAAAAATGGGTTTTGTTTTTTTAGATCCAAAGAAGTTATCTTTTGTTGGTTAGTTGCTTATTAGTTGCAGCTTTGGTGGCTAGCTGGTAGTAACTCACTTATATATTTAATTTAACATACATATACACAATTAAAAAAGTAAAATGCTCGTTATACGTATATCTATACTGAAACTTAAACGTATAAAATATAATGTTGTCTCCTATGTCACGCAAAGTTACGTGACCGCCGTGGAAGCCGTGGTCACGTGATGCAAGTCTGTTCCATTTAACCATTTTCTTTGACCAACGAAGGACAGTGTCCTCGTAAGCAAGGCACCTGGCCTCGCAAGATATTGCCTTGCAAGGCCAGGCGCCTTGACACTGAGAAACACTCCGTGTTTGTGTTTGAAAGCTAGGGTTTTTAAACAAGCGCGTGTACACACACAGGTGCTCACATGGTGCTCTCAAAAGTATGGGCTTGGGCATGTTAAACACAGGTCTTAAGACTATGGTGGGCACTCAATGCATTGTGATTTATTATCGTGATTCTTCAGTTAAGCAATGTTGATTATATTTTTTTTTCATCAAGTTGACGCAGTGATAGCTAGATCTTGTTGTATTGTTGTTGTGTCCCTTTTTTTGTCCTTTTGTTTTATTTTGTCTTTTTCTGCAGGTCTAGAAGCAGACTCTTGTTCATTGTTTATTTTTGTGGACCCCCCCCCCCCCCCCCCACCTCCTCCTCCTCTCTCCCCATCTTTTCTTTTCCTTTCTCTTTCACCTCTGTCTCCGTGTCTGGTCGGAATTACAAAGCATTCAACAACAATAACAATAAAGTTTTAAGTATCAGGCTTGACATTAAAGGCAGACGCTTTGATGCTCCACCTGAGAATAAATCTGTAAGGCTTGTCACCAGCATTCAGACATCAATTCTGCTTGCTTCACAGCCAGACAGGACACGGTAAAAAAAAAAAAAAAAGCTAGGGTTTTTTTTTTGCAGATTTTCCATTGCAGCTTTTATATTAACAAAATAGCAACTTTTAATGAGTCTTACTAAATTTATTTCATATTTTAGAATCTGTGTTTTCAGGTTTAATATATTTTTATTTAATCATTCTGAAGTCCTGTGACCTCAGTCCTCCAGTACCTTCCACCTGCTTAATCTCTTTTAAAAGGTTTATGTTCTTGTCTGTTTACTGCATTGTATTTGTCTTTATCTACTCTGAAGCATGTTGTGCTGCACACTGCTGCTGCATGCAAGGTGCTCTGTAAATAAAACTTGATTGATTATTTGATTGATCAACAGGAGGATTAGGACGCTGCCTGCAGTGATTTAGATGCTAAATCAGTCCGTTGTGGTGAAGAGGGAGCTCAGCCAGAAAGCAAAGACTCTGAGTTCCACACCTTATCTATGGGTATGAGCTCTGGGTGATGACAGGCAGGATAAGGTCATTGATGCAAGTGGGCGGAGAAAGTTTGTTCATTGGGCTTGGAGATATAGCGTGCTCAAATGTCTAGAAAGAGCTGGAAGCGGAGCTGCAGAGGTGGGCTCAGGCATTTGGTTAGGATGATCTCCAAAGTCCTCCTGGGGGAGGATCCCACCTGAGAGGTCAGTGTGGAAATCCTTGCCAGAGCTGCTGCCCAACCCAACCCAGGATCAAATAAAGGGTCATGTGATGAGGAAAGACAACTGCACATGTAACAGACTTTGTTCAAAAAGAAATAACGACAGGCCTAAAATACATTTTGCTTGACCTTTCATTTCAGTTCCAGTTCATATCATTCATTTATTCTAGGAAAAGAAACACTTGAAGCTAATTCAGCAGCCAACATGTCCATCCAAGACCTTTACTAAGAGCACTCGGTGATCTGTGCTGTGAAATCAACACAAGCTCATGGAAGTCCCACCGTGATGGAAGACCGTGGTAATTCAGTCAACCAGATGAAGACCAACACTTATATAGTCCCTTTTGATGTTCATGCTGACCTTCAGCGTCCTTTGGTCGTGCTTTCGCTGTCTCAGTGAAGCCTCAGAGCACACACACACTCAGTGTGATGCTGGAGAGACTGATCTTCTGCATGATTGCGCAACAGTCTCCTCGCAGCAGGTGCGACACGCTGACAGTGGCGTGTTGTGAGATGTGTGGAGGAAGAGGCGAACAGCCAGGGCTATTTTTATAGTCACAATTAGAGGAATCAGGAAGGGCGGCGCGGGAGAGGCAGCCTCATTCTGCACACTCACCCACTTGTGCGGGGGCTCTTTACTCCACGTCACTTCAGTACGGGGGACTCCGCATGATGGAGATAAATATTTGAAAAGCAGGTGTGATTGGGTGAGAAGAGATGTGCAGGGTGAAAGATTCAAATGGTGAAATGAGAGAAATGGTAAGAAAAGAACCTTAAATTTGGTGCAGACGTTAATTTTAGGATCTGTTTGTTTTAAACGTCCAGCGTTAAGTTTTCCCATCAGCAACTCAGTGGGTGTATCCGCACGCCGCTGGCTCCTCCAGCCGAGCCCGGATTCGCTTGATCTAACCTCTGTTACCTCAAGCTCCGCGAGCAGGCAGCTGTAGCTAAGCACCCACTATTTTACATCCAGCACCGAATTCAATTAACTGTCCAACTGGAAAATGGGTGTCTAGGGAAATAAAGCACAGAAACAAGGAGGCAGAGGACTGGGTCGGCACTGCGGCTGATGGGTCTGGGTGCACACATTTGTTATGATTTGTCAGAGCAGAGCAACAGGATGTGTTTCAGGGCATATGTTAATGACGTGGGGAACCAGAGAGCAACATGGGAGTTCAACATGGGGATGAAATGGAAATATCTGCTCTGTGCATTACTGCAGGACAACAACAGTGGCTTCAGGCAGTCATGTTCCGTTTAATAAGATTGTTGTATCTCATTAGGAAAAGCAGAAAAGCTGCAAACAAAAGAGATTTGGGTTACAAAAGGCTTCCTCCTGGATATTTGCTGGTGCAAACGGGGTGAATTACAAACTGCTTAAACTGCACGCAGCAGATTTAAAAGATAATTACAAAAAAAAACTGGCTTGTCTACTTTTTTTAGTGGAGAAAACACAAATGATTTGGTTTCAAACTGAGCAGCTTTCACTTCCTAAATGAGTTAAAAAAACACTTTTGCTCATTAAAAAGTACATTTTGAACATCAAACACTCGTTTTCACACACTGGTGTTTGCTAACTAATAATCACAAACAGCGCCCAGTCATCACATAACTGTTACAGTAAAACTTAATAAGGAGTTTCTGTCTGATGTGGATTTCCCTCTAATTAAGCAATATCACACTCGAGGTTGTGCGTTGTCGCTGAATATCAGCACTGGTGTGATTTGGTCGTAGGCATGAGGCCGCAGGCCAAGTGCCGTAGATAATCGCACCAGTTTAGATTAAGATTCATTATAATCAGAAATAATCATTAAATGTATTTTCTCAGTGAGGTTGACCTATATATTGACCTATATACAACAGTTTTTTTAGATTTCCAAAATGTGTCCCCCTCAGTATTAAACTCGTCCCGACACCCTTGGTTTCCAGTGTTTCATCTGATCAGCTCATCCATTAAATGGTTATTTATTTTGGCTCTAAATGGTTTACATTCTTGCTTCAGGGAGAGGAAATTTGGTTTTTTGTTTTCAAGTGATTCAGTAAGCCAGTAAAACCCTGTGAACAGGCCCTAGAGCCGTTAACTAAGGGTCACAAGGTAAAACAACAAGCTCTGTCCTGACTGGACCATCTATCACAGCTCACCCGTAGCTGCAGGCGTGTGTCTGTTTTCATGCATTTCAGCACATTTCTTAAAGAAAGAAGGTGAAACAGGAGCAAAGGTGTTGACTGTAAGCAGAGACTCTGGTGAAAGGACAAGCTGAGGACAGGAGAAGCAAATCTTAAATAATTAAAAGATAATTCAACAAGCTAGCCAACTGTTTTATTTATTTTTATTTATTTTTTGTTGTTCTAACCAAAAATCTTCCCCCTCGTCTCTCCCGTCTCACTCTGTTTCTCTCCCTCCTTCCTTATCTGTCTTATTGCCCTCATGGTTGGAAATCTTCTGCCAGAGGAACCATCCTAGCTTGTCCCAAAGCAATTACAAGCCTGGCTATTTCTTCCTCTCAGCTAAACACATTGCAGACTGATATTGCATGACTTTCTTTTCCCACCACTTTTGCTGAAAGATAACGGTGAAAAGTACCCTCATACTGCAGGGAAATTGTCTGGGGAACTTCTCAAAGACATTTCCTCTGAAGCCAAGTCTGGATGGCAGCTTGAAATTAAGTGCACTAACTTCCAGTCTTTGTGTGTTTGTGTGTGCAAACACATTTGTGTGTGCGTGCGTGCATGCATGTGTGTGATTTATGCTTTTTGTTTTACTAAGACAGACATTGGAGGCATGGGGAAATTATTAGACATTTATTATCTGTGCACATACACTAATAGACACAACATCTTTATCTCTGCAAATGATTGCACTGTTTTAACCTTTTAAAATTCCAGGTTCGATTAAGGCAAGGTGTTTTGCCCCATGGGCGGGATGCTGGAATGCTGGATCATTCGTTTCATTAATACAATTGCAGTCTCTAGTAGGAAGGACTGTCTTGTAATTCATTCTCAGGAGAGAATGTACCGGTGCACCATTTCTAGGAACTAAAAGTTTCCCATCACAGCTGAGCTGCACATAAGGTTGCCACAAGGTTCCGTCCTTGGGCCATTGCTGTTTTCTACCTACCTTCTGCCTCTGGGCAATATCCTGAATCTGCTATACCTGGCGGTAAGGCGTTTCCTGTTTCCTGTTTTCAGTGTTGCACTACGTGTAGCTGTTTGGTGTTTGGGGCTCGCTAAAGCTGATTTAATTTCTCTGTACTAGGATGTCTCTGAGTTATTGTAGCACTAAAGCACGCTAAAACACACATTTTCTGTTGCTCCACCTAGCTTTTAGGGAAACATTTGAGTTTGCACACAGTTTATTTGGTGTTGAACAGTTTGCTCGTCCCGTTAGCTTAGCCTAAGCACGGCTATGGCTACTTCTGTCTCTGCTTCTCCGTATCCTATCTCTTGCTCTCTGTGTCAGATGTTTAGTTACTCCTCTGCCTCCTTTAGTGATAATGGTACGTGTAATAAATGTAGCATTTTTGTAGCTTTGGAGGCGAGGGTGTTGGTTTTGGAGTCCCGGCTCCGCGCTGTTGAAAAACCCGTAAACAGCCATAGCTACTTAGCTAGCGCGGGGCTGACTACCTCAGAACAACCCCGTACCAACCCTCCAGTAGAACCCGAGCAGCCGGGACCTCAGGCCGGCTGGGTGATGGTACGCAGGAAGCATAGAACCCAGCCCGTGGGCCACCACCAACCCGTCCATGTTTCTAATAGATTTTCCCCGCTCAGTGACGCACCCACTGACAAGCCGACTCTGATCATTGGTAGCTCCATAGTCAGAAATGTGGCATTAGAGACTCCAGCAACCATAGTTAAATGTTTACCTGGGGCCAGAGCGGGCGACATTAAATCTTATCTGAAACTGCTGGCTAAGGATAAGCGTAAATACAGTAAGATTTTTATTCACGCTGGCGGTAACGACACCCGGTTACGTCAATCGGAGGTCACTAAAATTAATGTTTCGGTGTGTAAGTTTGCCAAAACAATGTCGGACTCCGTAATTTTCTCTGGCCCCCTGCCTGATCGGACCAGTGACGACATGTTTAGCCGCATGCTGTCCTTCAACCGCTGGTTGTCTAGGTGGTGTCCTGAAAACAACGTGGGCTACATTGATAACTGGAAAACTTTTTGGGGAAAACCTGGTCTGATGCGGAGAGACGGCATCCATCCCTCTTTGGATGGTGCAGCTCTTCTTTCTAGGAACATGGCCAGTTTTATTAGTCCTCCATGACAACCCAGGGTCCAGACCAGGAAGCAGAGTCGTAGTTTAACCCACCCCTCTGCAGCTTCTGTACTGTTACCCACCCACTACCCCATAGAGACAGTGTCCTGCCTACGGCCAAAATCACACAGATTAAATATCAGGCTTAATAAAGCCAATCATGGAAATCTCATAAATATTAGAACAAATTCAACTGAGCAGAAAACTAGAAAAATTAAATGTGGGTTGTTGAACATTAGATCCGTTTTTTCTAAGACTTTGTTAGTTAATGACTTGATTTGTGATAATCAGATCTCTCTGCTCTCTCTCACAGAATCCTGGCTGCAGCAAGAGAACTATGTTAGCTTAAATTAGTCGACTCCTTCAAATTATTTAAATCATTATATTGCTCGAAGTACAGGGCGAGGAGGAGGAGTAGCAACCATTTTTCATTTGGACTTATTAATCAGTCCCTTACAGTCCCTTTAATAGCTATAGTTCGTTCGAACATCTTATTCTTAGTTTTCCTAATCCAGATTGCAAAACTGTAAAACCACTCTTGTTTGTAGTTTTATATCGTCCACCAGGCCCTTACTCTGAGTTTTTGGATCAGATCTCTGATTTTTTATCAGATTTGGTGCTAAATACTTATAAGGTCATTGTAGTGGGGGATTTTAATATTCATGTGGACATTGAAAATGATAGCCTCAATGTAGCCTTTAGTAATATCTTAGACTCAATTGGTTTTACTCAAAGAATACATAGCTCCACCCACTCCTGCCATCATACATTGGACCTTGTGCTGACTTATGGCATAGAGTGTGAGGAAATAACAATCTTTCCGCATAATCCAGTCCTCTCGGACCACTTTCTGATAACCTTTGAGTTTTTTATAACCGAGTTCTCGAGACATGAAAGTAAATTTCACTATAGTCGGTCTCTATCTGACAACTCTGTTGCATCTTTTAAATCAACTGTTCCATCTTTACTGTCCTCAGCATCTCAGAGGAACGTAGCAGAGGGCAATATTTTCAGTTCTAGCCCCTCACACATTGATGCATTAGTTCATCATGTTAATTCCTCTTTACGTGTGGCATTAGATGATGTAGCCCCTTTAAAAAAGAAGGTAATTAGGGACAGGAAGTTGGCTCCCTGGTTTAATTCTCATTTACGAGCCTTAAAACAAAACTCTTGGAAATTGGAGAGAACATGGCGCTTTACGTACCATGAGGAGGCCTACCTATCCTGGAAAAATAGTCTTGTGCTTTATAAAAATAAGCTTCGACAAACTAGAACTGCTTATTTCTCAGCACTAATTGAGGAGAATAAGCATAATCCTAAATTTCTTTTCAGTACAGTTGCTAAACTTACACAGAATCATAGCTCGGAGCCATCTATTCCCTTAGCCCTCAGCAGCAATGACTTCATGGGATTTTTTACAAGTAAAATTAATTCTATTAGAAACAAAATCTTTAGCATCCTCCCTAATGTGATTTCTTCTTCCTCAGTAAGTAAGGCAGCATCAGATGTAACTGTAGAACCTCATCTGTGCTTGAACAATTTTGATCCAGTTGAGCTTTCAGATTTATCAAAAATATTAGCTTCATCTAAACCTTCAACTTGCATTTTAGATCCAATCCCAACCAAATTATTTAAAGATGCATTTCCTTTGGTTACTGCCCCCATTCTAGATATAATCAATCTACCCTTAGTAAATGGGTATGTACCACAGGATTTTAAGGTTGCTGTAATCAAACCTTCACTTAAGAAGCCTTCTCTGGATCCAGATGACCCAATGAATTATAGACCGATATCTAACCTTCCATTTTTATCCAAAGTCCTGGAGAAAATAGTGGCCATCCAAGTATGTGAGCATTTAAACACTAATGCTCTGTTTGAGGAATTTCAGTCTGGTTTTAGAGAGTATCACAGCACTGAAACTGCATTAGTGAGAGTTACAAATGATATTCTCATGGCCTCAGATAAGAATCTTGTGTTTGTTCTAGTCTTGTTAGATCTCAGTGCTGCCTTTGACACAGTTGATCACAATGTTCTTTAAGAAAGACTTGAACATGTTGTAGGGATCAAAGGTACAGCGCTAGGCTGGTTTAAATCCTACCTGTGTGACAGATTTCATTTTGTAAATGTACATGACAAATCGTCTGCATACTCCAGGGTTACTTGTGGAGTACCACAGGGTTCAGTGCTTGGACCAATTCTTTTTACTATATATATGCTCCCAATTGGTAAAATCATTAGACAGCATGGGATAAACTTCCACTGTTATGCTGACGATACTCAGCTATATTTATCCATTAACCCTGATGAACCTAATCGGTTGGGTACATTACAGGCTTGTCTTGAGGACATAAAAAATTGGATGACTCTAAACTTTTTGCTTTTAAATCAAGACAAGACGGAAGTTCTCATCTTTGGACCATAAATCCAGAAAAGGAAATTGCTTAGCCAGTTGCCTGACCTGAATGGCATTACATTAATCTCCAAGAACAAAGTAAAGAACCTTGGCGTTATCTTTGACCAGGACATGTCATTCAAATCCCAGGTTAAACAGGTTTGTAGAATTTCTTTTTTCCACCTTCGGAATATTGCTAAGATTAGAAGCATCGTTTCCAGGAGTGATGCTGAAAAACTAGTTCATGCATTTATTACATCAAGACTGGATTACTGTAATTCATTACTCTCAGGAGGTCCACAGAATGTAGTTAAAAGTCTTCAGCTTGTCCAAAGTGCTGCAGCTAGAGTTCTGATGAGAATTAAAAAGAGAGATCATATCTCTCCTGTCTTAGCTTCCCTACATTGGCTACCTGTTAAATTCAGAATAGATTTTAAGATCCTCCTTCTCACATATAAAGCTCTTAATAATCAAGCTCCATCATACATCAGTGATCTGATTGTTCCATATGTTCCTAACCGAGCACTTCACTCTCAGACTGCAGGTCTACTGGTGGTTCCCAGAATATCTAAACTTAGGATGGGAGGCAGATCTTTTAGTTATCAGGCTTCTCTCCTGTGGAACCAGCTCCCAGCCTTAGTCCGTGAGACAGACACTTTGTCTACTTTTAAGAATAGGCTTAAAACATTTTTATTTGATAGGGCCTATGGTTAAAATCTGATGTTGGCCTACATCTGGACAAGTGGGGGAGTAGAGGGAGGTGGAGTGTACAGTCGGTAAAGACGCCTCTCCCTTGCCCTGCCTCCAACATGCCTCCATCTAAATAGGATAGATTATCCAGAGTTATCTCTGTAGTTATGCTGCTATAGGCTTAGACTGCTGGAGGATACACTGACCACTTTTCACACTCTACTGCTTTCTTCTACAATCTGCTCTTTAACTGTACTATTTTCTGCTATTTCAGCTGTTAACTTTATTTTCTCTCTAAGTGTTTTTCTCCCCAGAAGAAGCTACAGCGATGTTCTGCTGAGCTGTGGTGGCCTCATGGAGGGGGCCATCGTCTAGCACACTGCTGCTAACCACTAAAACATTCTCCCTCTCCTGATAATAACTTTTTGCTTTCCTTGACGTTGGATGTGCTACTACTAGTTTATCCGTTTAATTATAGATCCACTAGGATACATACAATAAAGCTTATCTCTCACCAAATAGAATATTTACTAAGAAATCACAATATAACTATAGACACATTGCTTTGTCTTTGTGTGTGTGTGTGTGCGTGCGTGCGTGCGTGCGTGTGTGTGTGTGTGTGTGTGTGTGTGTGTGTGTCTGCTCTGTCTTCTCCATCCCCAGTGAGTCGTGGTGGATGGCTGCTTATACTGAGCCAGGATTCTCTGGAGGTTTCTTCCTGTTAAAAGGGAGTTTTCCTCTCCACTGTCGCTGCATGCTTGCTTAGTATGAGGATTGCTGTATAGTCACTGACACTAGTCAGTGACTTGATGCAATATGCTGGGTTTCTTATATAGGAAATGTTTTTTCTGATTGGCTTAATGAACTGACCCGAATTGGAATGTTTATTATGTGAAGTGCCTTGAGACGACTCTTGTCGTGATTTATACATTTACATAAACTTGAATTGAATTGAATTGAATCAGCATGGCCTGAGCTATCACATTTACGCTGATGACTGTCAACCATACGTAGAAATGGATGAGAAGAATGCGGGCTCGCGATTGGCTGCATGTTTAGATGACATGAAGGGCTGACTGGCATCCAACTTCTTAAAGTTAAACGAAAAGAAGTCTGAGTTTATTGTTCTTGACCCCCGCAACCACCATGGCTCTCACCCTGTTTGTGACCTTTTAACCCTCAACCCCAAACAGTATGTGACAAGTCTCGGGGTCAAGCTGGATGCTGGACTCACAATGGCCCCACAGTTAAACTCTGTAGTGAGGTTTTGCTTTTATCAGCCTCGCCTCAGACTAATCCTGAAACGGAGGCATTTGGAGTCAGTCATCCATTCCTTCATTACCTCTCACTTAGACTACGCAAACGCCCTCCTCGTTGGTGTTCCGGTATCCACCCTGAATCAGCTGCAGGTCGTCCAGAAAGCTGCTGCCAGGTTCTTGACGAGTACACACCGACTTAGCCATATTACCACTGTCCTAGCACGTCTTCACTGGCTCCCTGTCATTTTCAGAGTGCAGTTTAAGTTCCTGACCTTTGCATTTAAAGCTCTCAATGACCTGGCACCTCCCTATCTCTCTGACCTGCTCACTCCATATGTATCCACGTGCACGTTGAGGTCGGCTGACCTTTTGCTGCTGTGCACGCAGCGGATGTGATTCAAATCGCGGGGTGTACGAGCATTTGTGCATGCTGCCCCAAAGCTATGGAACTCATTGCCCATTGGAGTTCGGCGGGCTCCATCTCTGGCGGTTTTTAAATCTCGTTTAAAGACCCACTTTTACGCTTTGGCTTTTAGACGGTGACTCGTTTGAGTGTTTTATTGTATCATTGTTTTAATGTGTTCTTAGTATTCATCATGTTTTATCTGCTTTTGATTGGGATTTCTATCCTCTGTTTCAGTTCTTTCGAATGGTTGTGTTTTGTTTTAGCCTGTGCAGCACTTTGGGCAGCTCCCATGCTGCGTTTTAAATGTGCTATATAAATAAACTATGCTATGCTATGCTATGCACATAGCACGTTTTGGAGTCTTACTTCCTGAGATTTGGACATCTTGCCTCACATTGTACAACAGCAGCATGCCTCTACCTCTGACAAGCTGTTACAAACCCTAGGTGTTAGGCGTTGTGGTGGAGGGGTAACATAATAACTGGAGTGGAGAAAAGGGAGGAGTATAAATAAAAATGTGTTTTGTTACCAAAATTGAAAACAAATACTCAGTCCTAGACTGGGAGAAAAAAAATGACTAAACACAACAAAAACTAATAAAACGAAAGGCGACGAGGGGAAATCAAAACACCTGAGACAAAAGGCCTCAGGGAAAAAGACACGAGACTAATTTAACAAATATAAGTGCCGGAGTTGACTAACTAGAAAAAAATCGATCTTCATTATCACTATCGTCAAAGTTCTTATCCAATTCTAAACCACTAATCAACAAAGATCCAAAACGAGGAGAGAAAGACGGGGAGTTAAACGGTGATTCTCTCCCAGAGAAGTGAGATCTGCTGTCTTTTACGCCGTCAGCGCTCATTAGAGGACTGCTTGCAGCTGGGGTTCCGAAGGCGGGCAGAGGAGGAAACCAGTCCACCGGAGGACCTGTTCAAGGTCCTGAACAGCAAAGGAAGGAGCAGACTTGGGCCTTCCAGGGAGCGGGAGCCCAGGATTTGTAACAAAAGCAATGTGGATGTTTTATCTCCATGAATAACACAAGCCTGGAGGAGCTTATGTTGTGTGGTGAAGTTGCTAATGCTAATGGTTAGGCTACATGCCTGCTACTATTTCCTGAACACTAAACCAACAACAAGCTTCCCAGTTGTGATTCAAGATGGG